TTTTTTAAAAAATGGAGGCAGAAAATAGAGTACGAAGTTTACAGATGAAAAATGATGAGGGCCTGAATCAGAAAGGTGACCATATGAATACAGAGAAGGGCACTGGAGATGTTGGAAGGGTAACACAGACAAAACTTGGTGGCTGATTAGCTATGGAGAGTGAGAGAGAGTGGAAAGCCCAAGGGGACCCTGAGGCAGGTTAGCAAAGCTTTAGGGCATTAAAAAATTTTATTATTATTTTTAATAATTTCCCCAAATTACATTTTTTTTAAAGTTTTGAGTTCTAAATTCTTCTTCTCCCTCCTTGCCCTAATTACCTGAAACACCTCCTCTTCAGTCTTATTTGGACTGTTCATTTATACTGGCTATAAATAAAGGGTTTGTAACAGAAAAATAAATTACAGCTCCTGTCTGCATGATCACAAATTCTAAAAGTGAGGTCTGAATTAATAAGGTTTTATTAATTAGTTAAATTAATAAGGTTATATCATAATGAAAAATATACCCTCTAACACTTCTGATGTCATCATCAAAACTCTCTTTGAGCAGTAAGACTCACACAGCTACTCTGTACCAAAGTGGAAAAATTTGAGGACAAATCATGACTGTGGCACTCAAGGTCATTACCATTTGCTGACACTGGTGGATCACAACATAAAGAACCACCAGTACCTGCCAGCCTAAAGGAACCAGAAACACAGATCGGGTCAGATTCTTTCAATGAAGAAGCAGCTTGTAGCCTCTACTTCAACAATGGAGCATGTCAGTCAACAGTTCAGTCAATATTTTTAAGCACCTACTTAGGTGGCCCAGTGGATTGAGAGTCAGATCTAAAATCTGGCTTCAGACATTTACTGTGACCCTGGGCAAGTCACTTAACCCAGGTTTGCCCAAGTTCCCTCATCTGTAAAACGAGTTGGAGGAGGAAATGGCAAATCCCTCCAGTATCGTTGCCAAGAAAACTCCAAATGAGATCACAAAGAGTCTGACTCTTCCAAACGATAACAAGCACCTACTATGTGCTAGGCACTGTGTTATGTGCTGGAGATTAAAAAAAAGAGGCAAAAGATAATCATTACCCTCAAGGAGCTCACAATCTGATGCTTTAATTTCATCCACAACAACTTTCTCCAAATAATGGTGGGGGTGGGGTGAGGATGGTAGACTGGAGAGTGCTTGAATATGGCCCTAGAATCAGTCTCTTTAAATTTCAGGAGTCCAATCACCATTTCCCTAACAGGGGTTATGATCTGTCTTAGTACAAGGAAACCCCACACAGTGATTCCCTTTATTCCAAATAAGGGAAGATGAAGCAGAAAGGGAAATGCTTATATTGATTCGGGTGAAGGGAAAAAAGTCTCCCCAAAAGAATATGGCAGCACCGAAATGGGTCACAGGTGGGAAGACAGTTCTGGGGGGCAGGGTAAGGAGGACAGTGAATGAAGGAAAAGAAGCATCAATCCCAGCAGGCTGCAATCCAATCTTGAATGCAGCATGAAGGCCTAGCAGGAGTCTGAGACACTGAAATTATCTCTGCAAATGAACAATTACACACTGAAACAAGCCACTTAGCAAAGTGTGGTTAGAACAAAGAGTAGTTCTTAACACATTTCAAGCGAGTGTGACAAAATCTGAGACATGGGGCCCTTCCCCCTGCCACCTACTCCTCTTCACAAGTGTCTGAAAGCAGGGAGCTGTCTAATCCTTGGCAGATGCTCAAGAGATTACTCCGACTGCTAGCTTGCCCCTATCGCAGGCCACTGCCTAAGTACACTGTAAAAGATATTAGAATTCAATATTTGAATGAATAACAATCCTTCCCACACCTAACTTTTCAGTTTTGCTTCTTGAGCTGCACAGCAGACAACAAATTTGCTAAGATTTTGCTCAAGCACAGTCTTATTTTCTGAAGTTTGGTAGTATCAAAGAAGACCTACAACTGAGTCATATGCCCAGCCATGCAAAATAACATAAGCTGCATAGCCAAGTGTCTACACTTCTCTCTCCCTCCCTTACAAAACAAATAAATAAAAGTTTCTAACTAACAGTGATATAGTAAGGGAAATAAGCAGAATGGTCCTAAAAGCAATGGAATAAACTTTGGGTTTTCTTTTTGTTCCATTTTGGTAGGTGTTTTGGTTACATTTTGGCAGGCAACTCTGTGTGTGTGTGTGTGTGTGTGTGTGTGTGTGTGTAAGTAAAATCAAGGGGTTTATTCTGTTTTTTTAGGCAATTAGGGTTAAGTGACTTGCCCAGGGTCACATAGCTAATAAGTGTCTAAGAACAAATTTGAACTCAGGTCCTCCTGATTTCAGAACCAGTGCTCTATCCACTGTACCACCTAGCTGTCTCATTTTTTTTTTAAATAGAGGAAGCTCTTTTTTTCTTTTTAAAAAAAATATGTTCTAAGCTGACAAGCATCAGTCATGCATTGCCATTTTGATCAAAGGGAGGACCAGGAAAGAGGGTAGATGGATCAGAGCAGAACTATTACCCCAATCACTAACATCACTACTGGAAAACCAGCTCAGACTGTCACATGGCCTTTTAGTCATGGATCTCAAGAACTTCACAAATGAATACAAGGGGTACTATATAAAAGACCTTCCCTTAGCCTAGAAGTAGCTGGACTTGGAGTAAGAAAAAACTGGGAAGGAAAGGAAATCCTGGCAATGACATTTTCCAGGGATGTTACTCTTGGAAAATGACATCCTTTATCTGTCTCAGGAAACTCTATATGACTTATATACCAAATTGTACATGGTTTCCATCTGTATTGGTGGAAGAAGTTCCCATTCCAGGAGTTTTCACTGGTGAAGGGAATCTCCAAACTGGCGAAATTATGAAGAAGCAGTAGAAGCCATAGGTGTATGAAGGGAGAGATACACTACTTGCAAAAATGGACAGACGTGATTTTAAGATGTATACTTGCTTGGGGAAATACTACTATTGGCCTATCCAATTTAAACAAAAGCTGTCTTACAATTAATTTTTTCTTTACTTCTAAAGGAAGTGTCTGAAGAAGAGTAAGATTCCAGGGAAAGGATGAAGGGAAAGGGGAATGGAGTAAAGAACCACCATCTTACAACATCATTAATGTGAAAATATGTTTAATAGGAATGTATATGTACAGCCTATATCAGATTGTGCGCCATCTTGGGAAGGAAGGGGGAGAAAAATTTGAACTCAAAAGCATATGGAAGCAATTGTTGATAAATCAAAATAAATTTAAAAAAAAAAAAAGAACAACCATCAAGGAATTATTTGACAAGGAGAAAACATGGGCTGGCCCCATGGTAAGAATGAGGGAATTATGGAATGGTGGATAACTGCAATGTGAAATAATACATGGTATAATACAGTATATAATAAATATTTATATCTTCCTCAGTGCTTCGTACAGTACATTACACATAATAAGAGATTAATAAATGCTTGTTGAATGAATAACTGTAGAGGAAAGGGAATTATATTGGGTTACAGGTAGAAACTGAGAGAAAAAAGGCAGTAGGACTACCTTTACTCAAGGTACAAACCGTTACAACTATCAGAGGCCAAATTTTGCTCTCAGCTGTTGACTATGCTACTGTAGCTACTAGAAGGCACAGATAAAGGCAATCTATTTCTGGTTATAGCCATGATTGAAGAGGGATGTTCAGTAATAGAAATTAAGATAGAGAAATATTTTTAATAACATTTTTTCAAGCCATGACTTTCTGTTAACACTTTCCATGATTCAAGGTAGTTCATTAGTCACCTTCACCAGATTTTCAAGTTTGCTTAAGCACATTTATAAATTTTCAAGTGTCAGTTTTTCTATTAAAGGCAGGAGATAAGAATAAAACCTAGCTCATTGTTTCCCTTCAGTTTAATTTGTGTGGGGTCAGAATTTCAAAGAACTTCAAGTTTTATTGACTGAAATTCATTTCCCAACAAACACAAAGGTTGCCCTGGGACTTTAACCCCATACTCAAAGCCCACCCTAAGACAAGGGGAGGCTATTCAGTAGCTCATAAAAAGCAATGAACATTTTGGTGTAGTTAATTTGGTTACTAAAAAATGGAAATTGTGAAGCCCAGGTTCGAAGCGTACCACAGCTAAAGAATTAATGTTTGTTGATTTTTCTATATGAAAAATAGAGACCTTACAATGAAAATGAGAGAAATATCAGGTAGCAGAAACTTTATATTTTTCTCCTTTCACTACTGACTCTTTTCCAGAGAAAGTTGGGCAGTTGCTTGTTCTAAGCCATTTGGCCCAGTCAATACTGAATGACTTGCGCATGTGCGTGTGTGTGTGTGTGTGTGTGTGTGTGTGTGTGTGTGAGAGAGAGAGAGAGAGACAGACAGACAGACAGACAGTGAGTGATACAGAGCATGTACAAAACACAGAGTCAAGAAAGTCTTCTGTCATGAGTGTTTTGTTTTTAAAAACAAGAAGGCAAAGAATGGTATAAGTGGAAAGAAGACCAAGCTTAGTGCCATATTGCCCATGTTCAAAACCCAGCTCTCCTATTTACTCCTTGAGATAACCATGTACATGGTCACTTCACCAATCTGGGTTTCAGTTTTCTCATTTATAAAATTTATAAAATGGGCCAGAACCTGGAGGGTAGGGCCCATCTCTAAAACCTATGATCTTCTTTTCTTCTCTCATGCTTTTTTACATGAACAAAAATTTACTGGGTAAATTGAATTTGGATATTGGGATCACGAACACCACCCAAAGTTGCATCAGCCTCAGGAACTTCCATGGTGTCATCTATTCTTGTATCTTACACCCAGTCACACCAGCTTGCCTCTTACCACAAATGCCCACCTCCTATTCTGTTTCCAGTTGCCTGATGCTCATGCCACTCCATTATAGGCTTCCCCAGCAAAGCTGGAAATACTTCCTGCCCTCTCTACTTGAAGGTCTGAGTCAGATTCATCCACATCATGAAGGAAGGGAACATGAGTTGGCAAGTGATCAAAAGGATAAGGACAGACCTTCAGCGTTACCTATTTGCCTTTCCAGGTCAGCAGCTTCATCTGGTGTTGCTCGGGGTAGTACTCCAGGGTCACTGAAGCTCGTTCGAAGCAGGGTACCCATCACGAAGAAGAATAGGATCCCGCCAACCACAGGGATAGCTGGAGTGATTTTCACAGCTAAATATGGACAGCTTCCAGTAGCAGGTATGAAGAGAGGGAAGGGAGGAAGAAATTAAAAAGTACTGTTAGTAATCCACAGCAAGGTTGCTCGCATTTCCTAAGAAATGAAAGGCTTATCTAGAGAAGGAAAACTGATTTCCATTAAAAATTCATCTACATAAAGATTCCAACAGTATGGAATGCAAATTTTCTTTTGGAAAATTTCGCCCTCATGCCACAAATTATTAATGCCAACACCAGTCTTCCCCCATTGTATTTGTTGGGAAAGAAGTTCCAGAAAGAATGCAAATGAACCTCTTTACAAAATCAGTCTTCATTGTAATATTGTCTACAAATGCACATGGTTGCTATACATCAACAATCCATGCATCTTTCTAATCTTTCCCCTTCTCTTGAATTCCATAAGAGAAGACACAAACATAGGATATCTTAAAACAGGCCCAAGCTTTCCCCTCCCCCAGTTAATGCTCAGCTTTGTCTCTGACAGCACAGGGACATTCAGTGGGGACAAAATGCTGAGAAATGTAAATCTGTACTCCAAAGCCTGGCAAACATTGCCAACATTTTGGAGTTAACCTATCCAAAGGAGGTTAATGAGCTATGCAAATGAAATCACATTCCATTCTGCAGATAGAATATACTTAACTTGTTTCCATGTTCAAATGGCATTTGAATGACCACAAGAAGGCTGCCACCCCAGTTTTTTGCACTTTTAAAATCTTCCTTGTACTTAAATTTTACAAACTCCAATTCAATGACTCTTCCTGGGAACTGTGTGATGAGACAGGGAAAGGTGAATGTGTGATATGCTACAGGCCTCAATTAGCCAGGTATCAGTTTCTGACATTCAAGCTACCGTTCAGGGACTTTCATTAAGTTTTAAACAATTGCACCTTCACTCATTCAACAAAACTGCTGAGTAAGGGACAGAGGTTATAATGGCACTGGTTGTTGTTAAGTCATTTTTCAATCATGTGTGACTTTTTGCGACCCCCATTTGGGGTTTTCTTGGCAAATAGTGAAGCTGTTTGCCATTCCCTTTCCCAGCTCATTTTACAGATGAGGAAACTGAGGCAAACAGGGTGAAGTGATTCGCTCAAGGTCACACCGTTAGTACGCGTTTGAGGTCAGATTTGAATTCATGAAGAGGAATCTTTCTGGTTTCAAGTCCCGGTGCTCTACCACTATAGCACCTGGCTGTTCTTAATGGCATTAGTGGCCTGGAGGAACTAGAGTAGTAATCCCCTGGATTACTGTCATCACATTTAATTATTACTGAGCTTAGAGGCAACAAAGTAGAATCCTAACATGTTAAAGCCTGAATGGCCCTTAGGTGCAATAAAGGCAAGAGCAAAGGACCAAGGTTCAGAAGATTTGAGTGACAGTGTGACCATGGGCAAGTCACTTAACATTTCTGGGCCTCAGTTTCTTCATCTGTAAAATGGGGATAATAATACATAAACTATCCACCTCACTGGGTTGTCAGGAGGAAAGTGCTCTATGGATCTTGTTCTTATCTAACTCACCTCTTCCAACTAATAGGGAAAAACAACTGGAGTGGAAACATTGAGACCAACATTTCATGGACCTTTGATAGGATTATAGAGGTCAGTGGCTTACTATCATAGGATACGTGACTAATACTAATAGAACAGAAGTCTTCATTGCTTCATCATATGACTGCCCTTGGGCACCTAGGTGGCGCAGTGGATAGAGCGCTGGGCTTGCAATCAGGAAGACTTGACTCATCTTCCTGAGTTCAAATCCAGCCTCAGACGCTTCCTAGTTGTATGACCCCAGGCATGTCACTTAATCCTGTCTGCCTCAGTTTCCTTATCTGTAAAATGAGTTGGAAAGGGAAATGGCAAACCACTCCAGTATCTCTGCCAAGAAAACCTCAAATGGGGTTACAGAGGGTTAGATAGGTCTGAAAAATGACTTAACAACAACGACAACAACACTATACGCCAGGAACTGTCCTATCCCTCCTAGGTACACAAGGCCAAAAGTAAGACAACCTTGAGGCGCTTACATCCCATTCTCTGGGCCTGTTTCTTGTCCGAGGTTTTGTAACAGCTGGCTTGAGGAAAGATCAGGGATCCAAATTTAATGCCCCTAAAGCTCGGTCCATTGTTCTTTCAACTAGGCCCTGTTGCCTCCATGATTACTACTGCACAAAATATACCGACGTCCTATCTTTCTTCTATTCAATAGTGAATTTATGATACAGAAAAATCTCGCCCCTAAAAATGCATCACAGCCTCCAAGGAATCCCTGAACTCTTCAGTTGCCTTCATTTTATATAATTAACAGCAACATTAAAGTAATACTATATTTAGTGGTAAGGGTATCTCGCGTGTCTAGTTCAATGCTTAGCACACAGTAGGGAATTAACAAATGTTCGTTGGCTGACAGATTCATTTATAAAACGCCACTTTTTAGGTATTCCAGATTGCTTTTCTTACATCTTGTATCTCTGATAAGTTTGGAGATTTTCATTCAGGTGTTACCCTAGTACAGAAGGCTAAATGTATACAATGAGCTGCCTCGGCCCCTTCAGAGAGCAAATATGGCAGCAGTCGCCAACAACTGTACTCACATAGCCTTGAATCGATGAGTTTAGAGGGGCAGAAGCTTAAATGGAGGGAGATTTGAAAACTACCATACAGTAAGAATGAGTATTTCACAAACAATCCCATTCCTTTATAGCAGACAAAGGCAGGATGGGAAAACCCTTCCTCTTAAATTTAGATAAGCTGGAGGTTTAGTGCCTGAATTATACATGGGTGGGAGGTGTGTATGTTAGGGTGGAAAAGCGAAGACCCTGTCAAAGAAGAGACAATGAAGAGACATAAAGATCTGTTTTATTGGGAAATTAAAAGCTTTCATTTCTTCAGCTGCTAAAACACCATAAACACAGCTGGATCCACACACAAAAAAATAGTCCTGGGAAAAGAAATTCCTCTAATTGCCGTAGCTCCTGAATGGACTTCCAGCTTCTGAATAACATGGCGTCAAACTAGAACAGCTCTGCTACCCAGCCCTACTTGGACCATCATGAAGCAGGAGAAAGCGTTGGTAGTCCAGTAGGGCCAAACTTTGGAGGAAATTCTGGAGCTGGGCAGTGCCACTAGCCTCCCCTCCTTCGCCCTTTCTTTTCTACCCTCACTGGTGTCGATGCCTTTCAGTCACTCACTTCCCTCATGCTGCCTTTTTCCTAACAAAAAAAATGCTGTCTCAGGAGATGACCCGATCAATGCATGTGCACTAAAGGCATAAGGAAATGTTAACACTGACTATATTGCTTTTAAGCACCTTAACAGATAATTAAGTGTTAAGGCAAAGAAATTAATCTCTCATTTTGGAATTTCAGGCATCAGCAAACAGTGAAAGAGGAACACAGAGGACTTACAGGCACAGATAATCAAATGAACCTGTGATCTTTTCTATACAGGCGTTCCTTCCAATAATGCAGATAATAATAACAATAATAATAGCTAACATTTATATTAAGGTTTGCAAAATACTTTCTATTTATGATATCATTTGATCTTCACAAAAATCCTGGGATGTAGGTACCATTATTATCATCCCTTATTTTACAGATGAGGAAAGTGAGGCTGAGAGAGGTTAAATGACTTGTCCAGGGTCACACAGCTGGCAAGCGTCTGAAGGAGGATTTAAAATCCAGCACTCTATCTACTGTACCAGGATACCACCATCACATGCTGCCAATCACAATCCATCTATGCCTGTCCATCTTTAGATGCAGCTGTATTCCATGTCTAATTGCCATATAGTTACATTGGTAGAATGTTAATATTGAAAACATGGATCTTTGTTGTTATGGTAACTCTGAGGTCAATAAAGGAGCTTTGCAATTTTCTGAAAGCAATCCAACCTGTTATTTTCCTTCTGTTCAACTTTGGGCCCAATACTTTGTCTTTTTATACCATCTGTTTCAGATACCTACTAATATCATTCTGAACTTTCAGTACTTAGGTAACTGCCTGGTTTATACAGAAGAGACAATTCTAGTTTCCCTCAAGTTGAGATCCATTCTTATTCTTCCCAGCACAAAGGATCATTTAGGAGCACTACATCCAAAATGCATTTTGTAGACTGCTTTAATTTCCTTGGGACGAGGGCTATACTTTACTCTTCTTTATATTTCTCCCAATCCCTAGTACATTGTATGTACTCACTAGACACATGGAATGAATAAAGCAATGAAGCATCTCATCTGTGATCCTGCTTCATCAATCATTTCATATTTCTCAATGCATCTTCAGTCTCTTCCCATACACATTCTCAAGTGTCCTGTATTTTTTTTTTTGCTTTTTGGTGAGGCAGTCAGAGTTAAGTGACTTGCCCAGGGTCACAGTAAGGGTCAAGTGTTTGAGGTTGGATTTGAACTCAGGTCCTCCTGACTCCAAGGCTAGAGCTCTATCCCCTGTGCCAGCAAGCTTCCCTAAGTGTCCTGTATCATTAAAAAAAAAAAGTTTGAGGTCTTTCTTTGGCTTGGTCATCACCTTGGGATACCACCCAATTTCTTGCTTCCTCATTTCCTTCCAAACTCCTAGAAAGAAAAGTCTATAGTTTCTGCCTCCACTTCCTCACCATTCCACTTATTCTGTAACTCAATGAATCCTGTCTTTCGTGCTAGCAATTTTCTCCAAGGTTCCTTAAGCCCTCCTTCTGCTAAATACAATGGCCTTTTAATTCATGCTCAAGCTCCTTCACCTCCCCGTATCACCTGACACTGCTAATCGTACCCTCTTTCTTGATACCTGAGCATGGTGAATTACCTTGACAAAACTAGGTCAGGTAAATTCCCACCGAGCAAGGCTAATAAAAATGTCCAGGAGTACTAAGGTTGCCCTGCACTGACAAAGTAAAAGTTGTGGAGGCACTGCCTGTCCACAAGGGAAGTGCCCGATCATCCTTTGAAACAAAGAATTTGCTAATGTATGCTAGAAGACAGCAGCAGGATAGTAAGTGGATAGGGCAA